CTCTTGGTGATCGGGTTGAGTGCAAGCAGCCGGCGCAGCTGAAGCTTATGATGCTCGGGATGGGCGGCCATTTCCACCAGGAAATCCATTCAACTTATGCTCATAATGAGCGCAATGAGTGCAAGTCACCCGTGAAGCTGATGCTGATGATGCTCGGGATGGGTGGCCTTTTCCACCAACCTGACCAAGGAAACCTCTCAGCTGATGCTCATGATGCCCGGGTTGATTGCAAGCAGCCCGCTCAGCTGATGCTTATGATGCATGGGGAAGGTGATCTGACCAAGGAACCTTCTTAGCTGACCCTCCTGATGCTCGGGTTGGGTGGCCTTTCGACCTGATACTTAGGTTGGGCGGTACTGCAGATCAACTTAGCAAGAGCCTTGAACCACAGCAGCTGACGCCGACGAAGCTCGGGTGGTGTGGCCTTCATCGTAGAGCTGGTAAGCCTAGTGGACCATTCCGATCATGTTGAGAGTAAACTGCGCAGCTTTTCCTTTTTGAATTAGTCACCTTATGTTTAGGCAGGACCGGGCGGCCCCAACTCCCGCTCATGATGCGTGTTCGCGCGTGGGTGGCAGATTCGTAGCTATTCGGCTTTGAGGCGGCTGTCGCTTGTATGTATGGCGTCAGTAGATGGATAGAACTTTGCGATGTTCAGGCTGACATTGAATGCAGCGAGTCAACAGCCACAGTGATTTTCTTTTGGTGAATGTGATCCGTAGGTAGCAGGTCCATCCTCGCCCGTTGAGTCTCAAAGATTTTCAGGATTGAATGCATTCGGATTGTTTGTCTTTGCAGCCGGCTGCTTCAGTACGTAGCCATGGATGCAAGTTCCCCGTGCTTGGTTCGAAGCCGGCAGGCAATGCCGAGTCAAATCCTGTGACTGCCGTTTGAGCCTCTCAATCCCAAGCCCTTGAAGCAAAGCTGAAATCACCCTGAACCCTCAATTCTAAACCCGCAGAATCAACCCATCCTATTCCCACTGGTCGCAGGCTCCGGGACTGGAGGAGGCTGGTGGTCGGATTCCTACTTCCTAGAGCGGGGATCATCATCACCAGGACGCAGGTATTATCATACAGTAGGCATCTTTGCGGAGCCCGTTATGGAATCACCTCATGCGCTTCTTTTGAGCTTTGCTTCGGGTGTGGCCTTGTTGAGACTGTAGCGAATTGGAGCTGTAAGAGGCGGGAGCAGGAAGTGCCACATATACTGGATTTTGCAACGAGTTGGGTGTATCCGGCGGACTGTGCCCGAGCGGGACTGGAAAGATCGTGATTAGAGTCCAAAATGCAGCAGAACCGCCGTGCGCACCCACCCAGATGCGCATGCAGGATCAATATATATATATATATCAATATTCTAATCCCTGAAGGCCAAATAAGCACAGTTTTTCAGCAAAAGTACCGCATACTACCGCTCCTGAACCCCTCAACGTAAACCTCAGACCCCTCATTCGTGAGCCCTGAAACAAGAGAAGTTGTCATAACAGAGGGCCCCTAATTCTACCCCGATTATGTGTCCGTTACTGTATGGGGACAGCGGACAGTAACCCAATGTACAAATGTGCACCGAGGCATAAGCCCAGTCGCTGCAGTGTGCTGAGTCCCTTCTGAGCAGGGGGTGTTCTATAGGTCAAGGTGTGGCTTCGGAGGGTTCAGTTCCTTTAAGTTGGCTCCAGGCTCAGCTTTGGGGTCTTGTTTTCGGGGCAACTTTCTGCAGCCCGCCCACTGCTTTGAGAGTCGGAATTCGACTCTTCGTCTGCAAGGACGGAGTCGGCGATGCATGAGCCATCGCGGCCGATTGGATGCCGTCTCAGGATCCATCAGGAGGCGTTGAGGCCCTAAAGGCCCCAAAGCTTGCCGGCTTAAGCTAGAAAGCAGAAGCCTCAACCCTACACCCTAAACCCTAAACTCCTAAACTCCGATAAATCCTAAACCCTAAATTCCTAAACCCTAAACTCCTAAGCCTGATGCGATGCTGGTCAGACAGCTCCGGAGAGCCGCGATCGGCAGGAATGCAGCTGGGCCACTGTAAGCGGCCGAGTCTATGGTCTGTTAGAATGTATTATTCAAAGCAGATTGTATGTAGTTAACCATCGTAGTTCTTTTTGCTAGTCTATACTATAGTATGCTATGAGTACGACCTCAAGGGCATGCCCGCAAGCAGATGCACCAGCTGTTTGTTTTTGGGGGATGGTGTAGCAGGGATTGCTTGCTCCCTTCCCGAGTCCCGTCCAGGCCGTCAGCCTTTCTTGACGGGGTTTATACGTCGTTTTGAAGTTTTGAGACTCTGCTGACGATACCAGGAGGCAGTGACACGAAGTGCGCTGCGGTGGCTTGTAGGGCCAGGCTGGCCAAGCTGAAGCTAGGAGCCCCCTCCATGCGCCACACGCGGTCTGTCAGCCTTTGATGGGTGCCCTACAGAAGGACACCCATCGAAGATCGGAGATCGGAATTATCGGGGCTCTTCCGGAAAGCCCTTCCTTAAAGTATCTTCCGGAAAGCCGGCGGATGCACATGAAACATGCCAGCTCCACTGGTGCGGGAACTCTGAGCGACTCGGTCCGGCGAAGACAGGAGACAGGCACAGCAGTTCGTTCCTTCTTCCGGGGGAGGGGTTCGGCCCGCGGGAAAACTGGAACTTGCTGCCTGGAGTCTGGAGAATGCTGCATTGCTGGAGACATATGACGGTTTGATGTTGGGGTTCGTTTTTTTGCAAGATTTCCACATGGGCATCGCACCTCGGACCATCGAAGCCGTGTCAACGAATGAGCCCAAGCGCACCTGCAATACCTTGCACCTTGCATTTTGCAGCCTTGAAAACGTCACGAAACCCACGGAAGCCTCAGCCCCACTGTAGCTTGAAACCTTTCGTGCGTGTCAGCTGTGAAGCAGAACTACAACCTGAACTCTTTAGTGCTTTCGGCCATTGGAAGCGATTTCATCATGGCCGCCATGCAGCCAGGCGTGGCGCTTTTTTACCCCTCTTGCGCAAGGAGCCAAAGAAATCGGAAGATTTTGAACTACCGAAGAGAGATTGCAAAGTTGAGGCTGGAGGCCCTCAAAACCACAGAGACAGAGGCTCTACTTACACCCGGATCTCCTTCGCTTCAGGGAGGGAGCCTGCAGCTCCCTTTGCATACTGATATAGGCTTCATGGTCGAAGGGGGGTACCTAGGTACCTACCTACTTCATGCATCCGTTTTGGGGGGCCGTATACACTCAGAGCTCTTCAGGGCCCCCGAAAGCAGGAAGTCTTCAGGGCCCCCCTGGAGCCGCTTGGAGAAAACGTCGCAGGCTACGGGGCGCCGGCGAGCCACTTCGCGCGAGCCCGGCTTTTTGCTTTCTCCGGCTTCTGAGGCTTTGAGGCTTTGGAGTCTTCGAGTTTCTGTTTTGCGGGGTTGGGCTTGTCGACCAGAGGCCCCCGACGTTTGCGCTGAAATCCTGCAGCCAACAGAGCCCCGAACCTTCAGCCCTGGTCGAGATGCTTTCTGGAGGCTTCAAGTTCAGCATCAGCATGGTACATCCTGCCATCATCTCCGTTCGGGATCCGTTTTGACAGGTTCAAAGGGTTCCCCCATGGGGTGTGGGAAAAAGGAGAGTCTTTTGCCTCTGGACCCTTCGGCCTGGCTCTTCAGCCAGGGTGGGTGGGCATGCCTGGAGCCCAGCCATGCGATCCCTCCCCTGTGTCTTTTCTCTTTTCTCCCCCAGCTTTTCCCAGAAGGCGCCTTTAGAAAAAACACGCAGCGGCCTTGTAGCCCGCCGCAGAGGTCTACCGAGGGCCACAGACCCTGGCCCAGCCGCCCGGGCCCAAAGAACTTCGGATGTAAACTCTGTGTTGTGCATGCTGTATGAAGCGATAAGTCGATACGTGTGTCCTTGCAGCAGCGTAGCGACGCAGTGCGGGTAAGAGGGGCCGACAGTTACGGAGTTCTTAGGTAGAAGGTCGGGGGTTTCTATGCTGGAAGGTACCGGGCGGCCTCGCCCCAGCTTGGCGTCGCGGGCTTAAGACCTCTCGCCGTGCCGGGAGCAAGCCCAGAGCAAGCAATTTTTAGGAGTAGCTGGTGATCCTTGGCAGGGCCGTTTTGATATCGTCAGGCAGGCCGCAAGCACACAAAGAGGGCACGTCGAAGCTTGCATCGCGCGCCCAAGCGAGGTCCCTTTGCCAAAGACGGGCTCCTCGCGAGATAGGTGGGAGATCTCGAGACCTCTCAACCCTGATCCTTAAAAGAAGGCATTCGCCCCTAACCCTTAGCGCCCTCAAGCCTTACATCCATGAACCCTAAGCCTAAACTCCTGAGAGCCCTGTGAAATCCGAAATCCTTAAACGTTCTAAATCCCGAGCTTTCAACCAAAGTTTCTTCCCCCTAAGCCCGAAACCCTCATCCCCTACACCGCCTAAATGACGAATCCTTGGACCGGTATCGCAAGAGACCTTGCCAGGCCTAAACCCATTCTCCCCCTGGGCTCCTGGCCAGGAGCAGCTCCCCAGGAGTGACGTCGCCCACCTCGCCGGGGCTGCCGCTCATGGCGAGAACAGGCTCCCCGAATTTCAGGATTTGAGTGGAATTTAAGGGGTGTAGGGTTTCAGGAGTTCTTCGGAAACGGGGAGAAAGAGGCTTTGGCCGGTTTCCTCAGAATCACGAAGCGGATGTTTCTCCACATAAGCTTCCCAAGCCCAAGCAGCTTGACGTTTCAGAGGCTAATGGGGGGTGGCCGTAGTGGGCATGGCGTTTCATGTCGGGAGCCCACGCTGTGCTGGTTTGATAAGCTTACATCCGAGGCAGGCAGGCGGGCAGGCCCTCGGCAGTCCAGTCTGCGATAAGACCATCGATCGCGTCGCTTTAGTGAACTTGTTGTCAGAAGGGTTCTCGCTGAGAAGTGGCAAGCGAAGCGCTTCTCTGCCTGGGCGCCGCAGGCTGCGTCAGTGTGTCCAGTCGCAGCTGTTCCTCTCATCCTCATCTCATCCTCTGAAGTGATAGCTTCAGAGCACTGGACCTTATGGCCCTCACCTCAAGTCTCGTCTTTCAGAAGACCGCCGGCCGCTTCAAACTCGAGGCAGAGGACGAATTCAGAAGCTGCTTCGGGGAGGTGGCGGTGGTCGCTGCACGCGAAGCAGCGAAGCGGCATCGAGACAGCAGACTTCGCCGCTTGGAGAGATCGCAGTTGGTGGACTCAAAGGCCGACGTCTTGGACTTCTTGAAGAAGCACGGCTTCAATTGCTGTCGCGAGGATCTGCGCCTGAACATGCCGAAGAAGCATGCATTTGGGTTTCGACGCACGTACCCGCTGCACCAAGCAGTTCAGAACCAGGACTGGCCCATGGTGAAACTCCTGCTCCAGTTTGGGGCCGACCCGACTTGCAAGGACAGCAAAGGTCGAGACTTGGGAACCTGTATGGCCGAGATGAGGGCCCCCGATTGGATTCGAGCAGTAGTGCTTTAAAACCAGCGCAGGCACCGCCATCGCCTAGGAAAAGCTTCGGAATTCTTCGGATCTGCTGTGCCTGGGAATCCTGGGAGCACAACACCAGGTCCTTTTTTCATCGTGCCATGGAGGAGTTGGAACACAACTTCTTCAGCGATGCAGTTAATAGCCTGTCATGACGTGAATTTCTCAAGCAGCTCGACGCGGATGCGTGTCAGCGTGTCTGGCTGTTTTCGTGCCTCAGAGCTCGAAGTTCACGGTGGAAGCCAGAATATGGCCTTTACCTTACATCTCGATTTTGCCTCTCGAGTCCATGGAACTGTTTCAGAGGCATACAGAAGCCCTCGCCATGAGAAACAACATGTTCTTACTGGTGCTCTTGCATGATGCAGTAACGGCATTGACACTTCGTTGTGCGGCGTGCCAATTGGAATTCAATCAGACAGGTGCTTCAGTAGGCTGCCTCTGCTCTTTAGACCTGCGGCCGCCTGCGTCCTATGGGCATGGGCAAAGGAGGTCTACGACATGGTTTAGTCTTGCAATGCCTGAATCCAGTATACATGAGCCCAAAGGAGTTTACAGTATCTAGGAATAGGGGTCATCGGGGAATGCCATCGTGACTCATTTGGGCCCCTGTATTGCGTGACTTCGTTTTTACCAGCAGCCCTGGCTCGAGGATGAAAAAAATGCAGATTCGTTATCCTCCGTTGTGAAAGCTCGGATCCATTGGCTGAGCCGTAGATCCTTCCTTGCTTCGGCTGGCTGAATATGTTTGTCGAGAAGGGAGCTCTGCAGGCTTTTGTTTCCATAAGTGCTTGAATCGGCTTCAAGGGTTCCGAAATCCTAAAAACCCTAAATAGGGTCTGCTTCAAAAGGTTTTGAGAGACTCAAAGAGCTCCAGAGGCCCCCGTGCAGCACCTCCTCCGGACGCCCGGGCCCCAGGACTGACCGAAGGGTTTTCGCGAGTCTTTTGAGGGCTTTAGCACAGTTTGGGCTTTACTCTGAACTTTTTTGGCCTTTGGCCACAGGATATCGCGTTCCATGGTTGTTGCGATGCCTGGGTACAGCAAAGGTCGACTTCCGAAGCGGAGTCTCCTTCGTGCGTTCCTCAGAAGCTGTTGACGGAAGTGATCGGCAGC